CAAGAGCTGGCACAGGAGGCCTACCCAACTGCGTCACCCGATCTCCTCAAGTTGTTGCTGAGGGATCAGTTTGTAGATGCTTTGGACAGTTCACAACTGAAGATACAAGTGAAGCAAGCACACCCCTCTACTATGCAGGATGCAATGGCCAGAGCTCTTGAATTCGAATCCTATGTTAAGTCTAGCACAATGGTACCAAGGTTGGCACAGTCATCAGGATTCAAGGCCAGAAAAGGTCAGCTTTCAGAGTTGAGGGACTTTGCTGCCACTGTAATAAACCTGGGCACAAGAAAGCTCAATGCCGGCAACTTCAAAACAGGGAAGATGCCATGGCAGGAAAGGCTGCTACCCAGAACGGTTGTTGAAACTGTGGAGAGCAAGGACACGTGAGGAGCCAGTGTAAGAAGAATACTACCAATAGGTCAGCTTCGGGAAACCAGTAGTCGTTGGGGCTGAGGGATGTCCACCAACCCCCATTATGAAAGTCCCAACAGCTAAGTGTAAAACGGCAAGTACACATAGTGTCTACGTGACAAGAAAGCTGGATGGCCAAAAGTGCACCTTTGTCATAGATTCTGCATCTCAGCAAACCCTTGTGAGTATGAAGGTGCTGGATCTCAAAGGAGTACTAGAAGCCATACAGAAGCTCTGTGGTGTGACAGGACATAATGCAAGGTTGTGGGGACCAGTGTGGGTAACTATTGAGCTCAATGGCATGAAGGACAGACACAAAGTATACTTGGCTGACATTGAAGACCAATGCATATTAGGGTTGGACTACTTACTACCGAGGAAGTGTGTAGTTTACTTTGATAAAATGACGTTTGGGAACAGCAAAGGCCAACTTCCGGTACGTGTTCTTGCATCTGTTGATTTGCATGTCACAGCACTTAAGTCAACTACAGTACCCCCTATGTCAGAGAAGATAATTTGGGGTAGAATAAAAGAACATCTCAAGGAAGCCCGATGCTTGTGGAAGCAGTGGAAGACCCATCCAGGCCAGCGGATGTGAAGATTGGAAGGTCACTTGTTGCAGGTCATCAAGTAGTACTCATAACAGTGGCCAATTTCTCTAAATATGAACAGGCACTTGAGGAAGGGACATTGTTGGGTGTGTGCCAGGAGGTAGAGCCAGTCAATGTTAAGGCTAGAAATACAACCATAAAGAAAGGACATCATCTCCCAGAACACTTAACTGTCTTCTATATTAAGAGCATGGTCCATTTGTCATAAATTTTGTTGATAGAAAAGTTAATCCAGCTTGTTTTCAGTCATTATTTGTACGATATTTCCAACAATTACACCTTAATTTTACTATTGACCAATAACAAGATTGCTGTATAATCTGTTAAATGTTTAACATTTACATATAGCAAGGAATTGATTTGGCCTTACTACGTCTTTGGTCCATACTCTCATTAATCGTTGTTGCATAACGTTTTTTGTATGCATTGTTTGTATTATGAGACTTTCAAAAACCTGATTAAATTTTTAGAAAACAAAATAAAAGCTATTAATTTCTGTACAATTCTATCACATCACGTAATCAAAGCATTTATTTATTAATAACAAAATGTATTTCATATGTTGTGTTGACTTTTCATAAGCACAATATTTTATATGTTGTGTTGATTTTTCACAAATTAAATTGCGAAATAGTTGTCAACATTTCAGCTTCTCAACGTGTTAAACTAATAATATGTAATACGTGTAACGTTCTGTTAGATGATTAGAAAATACTTCTCGTATATTCAAACTAAGTTGGAAGGACGGTGTAGGTAGTAATTAAAACTAGGTTTTCGTTTCTAATTGTTTTTTTGAAAAAGATAAATTAGGCTTATGTAGTAATACTCCGATGACAAATGCCATTGTTATTAATTTAAATTTTATATTATATTATTTATAACTCATTGTAAATTTAATAATTAACTTGTATTTATTATTTACAAATTAGTGCAATTCATAATAATAGTTAACGTGTATTAACTAACTAATTTATTACTTGGCTTGTGGCAATGTGAGTGGAGTTGTGTAATATTTTAAATTAAATGTAATTGTAACTTTTAAGGTACTATTATTAATCAAATATTTGAAAAAATAAAAAACGTTTAGTAAAAGTAAAATTCAGAATACAAAAACTTCAAATTACTCATTATTGTTAATAATGATATTGTTTCAACGCGTTTATGAATTACGCGTGAGTCCTTTTTGTATTATTCAGTAAACTTAATTTTAAAATTGAAGCCCAGTCCACTTAACGAAAAGCAAGTTATTTCTTCAAGTTCAGTCATTTCCTGCAACAGTACAAGTCAATTTAGGCTCGTAGGCCTAAATCACATAAAACTAAAGTCACTTGTTAAATTTTCTCTCTTATCTACAGTACTAATTCAAAAATATACAGCACTGAGCTTATTTATTACTTAACTAATTCACTAAGTAACTAATCAACTTGCTGACACACTGATTGGCTGGCTCTCTTAAACTCCAGTATTTTATGCATGTTTTTCCCCAAATCTCAGATGAATTTGAAACATGTCAAATCTATATAATCATGAAATTTCTGTTTGTCACCCATCATCATTTCATTATGATGAAACCATCTAGCAATGAATAAAAAGAATTCTAATTTAAGATTTTAAAAATACAGCCTGTTACACTACTCCCTACCTGCATTATGAAGTCTTTTTAACAATCATAATACACAAATAAAACAATGATGTATTAAACTTGTATAATTAATCATAAAGTTACTATTTACAATTAACAAAATAACTATTTATAAATAGACGTTACAATCATTAAATAATTAATGGTGTTGAAGTACAACTAAATGTCTGATGAACCAAACAAACTCTCTTCATTATTTTGTTTACTGCCCCTAAATGTCTATTTACCAAATCTTTATGGTGTTTTTTTCTTCCACGGATTGTGGTCCAAAGATAGGTTTGTCCTTTATTGTCACTTGTTGTCTTGTCATTTAGGGAGGTCTCTTTCTTGATAGATGGTTAAGCAAATACAGTGGTGGCTATATCCCTGTTGATATCCAGGAAGTGGTCTAAACAGGAACTTTAGGCTCTCCAGCATGTTGCTTTAACCCCTAGCAAAGTCTTTGCTAAAGCTAAACAATTGGCTGTTCTGTTGATGTCCTTCCAAGTATAATCACAACAGGTGACATTCAGCTTAACATACACTCCTCTGTATTATATTCTATTGCTAACTAACCACTTGTTTTTCTTCATGTTGAATCCATCATCTTTTTCATTACTGGAGAAATTTTCCATCATTCATTACCATGTTTGGTCAAACAACTGTAGCTGTAGAACCATTGTTGGTGAATATGTTGGTAAGGCTTCCCATCAATGGATCCATTAACTCATGTTGATTCCTCAGTCTTGGTTATAATGGTCATGTTTCCCACATGTATACCAGTTTCGTTTTTTTTTTTTGGACTTCCCTTGGGAGGAGTTTTTTTTTTTTTATACAGGCTTTGGTTTGTAGTTCATGATAATATGTCCTTTCACTTTACAGTTGAAACATTTATTGTCTTTGGTTTCGGTGTAACTACTTGTCTAATTAATCATTCAATTCTTCTAGACTACCATCAGAGGGAGTTGATGTAATCTCTAGAGAGGTAATCTCTAGATGATGCTTTTAGTTTATCTGTAACTTTGCTGGATTCAAGTTTCATCTCCAACTGGAAAGCTTCGTTTAAAGATATATATATATATCAACTTTGCTGTAGTCTAATTTGCATCCACTGTAGCATCTGTGAATTCATAAAGTGCCAAAGAATCTATCATTTCATGTGGAGTGCCAAGGTAATATACAAGGAAAGTTTTTCCACATCTTTGGCAAGTTTGTCTAAGATCTCATCCTTCCTCCTTACTTTGCTTTTTAAACTTTATTTTGGACACTTCCTTTTGGTGTGTCACACTAGACCTGTTATATTAAGGCATCCAACACCAATTGATGGTTGTTGCAGCTATCAGCTTGAAGATTGCTTAATGTTATTAAGGCTGACCATTTTAATTGCAAAATGAGTAGCTTGTTGTTTACTGTTCCAGTTGCTCACTTTGTAATTTATTTTGATATGAACCTAATAAGCTTATTACCTTTCCGTTGTAGAGTATATGTTTCTTAGTTGGCAAATTTTGTTGTACTGGCCTGTTAAATTCTATGACTTGATAAGACAATGATATAAATGTAGTAGTAAATGGAGATACTGCAGTTAAATATCACACAGTAGTTGTGGTAACAGGTGTAGGTAAGATAGGTTTTGCTATTCCATATTTTATATTTAAAGGCAGTTGAGGATAGAATTTTTGTGCAGGTGCTGAGAGAAATGTGGTTGGTTTTTACGTATTTTATTCTGATACTGATGTGTTTTTTACTTCAGTGGTGTCTTTTTATGCTTCATTGCTGTCCTTTTATTGTTCTTCAGTTTTGTCTTTACAGTCTTTCTGCAAAAGATGTATTTTTTACTTAAATTTTGTTATTATAGTCCCACTGTGCTTCTTGTAGCCCCTCTGCACATATGCAATAATTTCTTTGATGTTGTCTTCAATCAACTTTTTGTTTAAATTCTTTTTTGAATCTTAATCTATTTCTTACCTCCTCTCTATAACTCTTGATCTTCTTTTAATTTTTTTTATAATTTTCTTCTTGGTTTTCATATAATTTTCTATTTCTTTTTTTCATAATGTTCTTTTAAGTTTCTGTCTCTTTCATCTTGGTTTTTTTTTCATTTTCTTTAAGTTTCTTCTTATTTTTTTTTCATTTTAAGTCTCTGCTTGTTCTTCTTTCCACTGTTTCATCATCTTCAGCAAATTTTCGACTTCACTTCAAGCTAAAGTGACCAGATGTCCTGGTTTTGCTAGAATAATCCTGTTTTTTGGTAGTTTGTCCCAGTGTCCCAAGAAACATTCTTGAAATGCACAAGATGTCCCCGTTTTATGATAAAGACATCAAACTGTCAGTCGCATTGAATCACAAGTGTAATAATCCTACTTGATTTGCTCATTGTTGTAACATGTACACTCCTGCCACCAAATTCTCTCGAAAGTTCTGTCTGTGTATAGTAAGAAACACAGGTTTTTTAGTTAGTAGTACTGTAGTAGACCTATATTGAAAATGTTTAACCTATCATAGTGTCAAAATGCTGAAAAGAAAGTGTTTTTTCAGATACTTTTAAAGCAAAGTTCACTTTTTAAAGGCAAGTGAGTTGGATAACAAAGTTGAATGTACTATTTGCAAGGCTGTGTTTCTGATAGCATAACATTACTGGTCACACTGCCAAGAAAAGCACAGGGGCCATTTTGAAATTAAGGGCTGGGCTGTCCCAGTTTTCAGTTTAGAAATCTGGTCATCCTACTTCAAGCATATGTTCATTTTGAAGTATAGTCTAGTACTGTTCCATTTCACCAAAATAATCCCACTCTTGACACCACTGTTTTAATGGTTTCTATTGTTGGGCAGGTTCTTTGTTTTATTTAAGTAAAAATATTTAGTCCAGTTAATGAAAAGGAAGTTGTTTTATTACTTTAAGTATAACACACAAATTATGTTGGCTGGTAGACCTAATGTACAAGTAAAACTAATCAATCATTTGTTAAATTTCTTCTAATATCTATTAACTCAAAAAGTACAGCAGTGAACTGACTTATTATCTCACTAAATAATCAACTGGCTGACTGGCATTCTCACTAAGTATTTCATTTTGACATTTCTATACAATACTTATTTTTCCCCAAATATCATGAAAGTTTGAAATGTCACAATGAATCTAGATACTCGGGAATTTCTAGGTGTTGCTTAATATTACTACTTCATGCCAAAAACTCTCTCTAGTAAGCAATGCAAAACATCTTAATTAAAATATTAAAAACATAACCTTATCACTAATGAAATGAGTGGGGAAAGTGATGATATATTTTGTCATAAGGATGGTGAGGTAAGATTTCTCCAAGCCCATTCCCTTCACTGTAGTTTTGCTAGATAGTAGATAGAGACAATAAGAACCTCATTAGCATTATTTGAATATCAATATTAATACAATGTTATTAAACTAAACAATAGCTTTTATCTACATATATTGTTGTCCACTTTCTAAATTCTAACTTAGTGGAATTTGTAATAAGCTTTCTTTACAAGTATGTAACCAAATTGTATCATCTGTAGTGCCATAAATTAGTTTTACATAACTAGGATTGTTTGCATAATTTGTAATGTTACTAAATATATATTTTTTAAACTTTCAGCAGATACAAGCTTTAAGCCTCTAGTCAGTAAGTCTTGTGTATCACATTCATGAAGAAATATGGAATTCTCAGTATGTTTCAAATGGACAATATTTGGAACAATATTATATCTGAGTTTGCTCTATGATAGTGATTGTTTGAGTGAAAAAACAGTAGATGCTGAAAAAGGAGGAAATGGCAAAAGTTATGAAGCTATTACCAAAATATATGAAAGCAAATCTGGTAATGATACTGATGAAAAAACCAGAAGTAAAACCAAGTTAAAGCCTAATGCACATGAGATGAAAGAGCTGTCTACAAGTAATAGTATTGGTCACAGTACCTTGAAGCGTACTTTAAATGGTTCTTTAGAAAGAAATGATACATTTGAAGACACCTACCTGAAAACAATTTTTAATTTTCAACACTCTTATAAAGCAGTGACCCAAACTCTGTATGTGGTGTTTGCTGGAATGGTGATTGTGATGATATACTTTGTCATTAGAATGGTGAGGTAAGAGCTAGAAATATAATATTTTTGAATAAATTTAACTCTAATAAAACATTGTTTCAGTATTTCATCTTTAACAAAAGGTGTCTCTTAGCTCTCTTTGAAAATGTGGCTTTAGAAAATGATGGGTTTCACACTTATGGGAATGCTTGATTTGTTATTTTATTATTATTCTAAAATATCAAGTTTTACCCAGTAAAAATATTTACTTAAATATGCAAGTAAGTGGTGGTCAGGCCTAATAACCTTTTGGTTAATTATGAAGACTAATACATGTAGATTTATAGTTTCCCAGTTCTTCATTATACTCTTTCTTGTTGAAAATTACAAATCACAATAGTATTAGGAATTTCTGTAGGGTCAATATACTTTAAAAAATATTTTAAATTTTCAGTATTTTATGGATGTGATAAACTATGCTTTGGTTGAGTTGAGTGATCTATAAATGAATGATTGTCACACAGATCAACTGGTTAAGCTTCCTAAAATAGTTATTCCTTGTATACACTCTGAATTAAATTTCAATAAAACATCACCACCATCCCACCTTTAATAAACTCAATTTTCTTACATATCTGTTCTTCACCTTCATTAGTTAAACATACATGTATAAAAATTATTTTTCAAATTAGCATCTTATTTTAACCCTATAGCTTGTTTCAACAAAAAATTCAGAAGTAATAGTGCTATGATTGCAAATACTTAATGTCACAACTCACAAAAATAATCAATTAATTGTAATTAGTTTCCAATTATTACTCTTTTTGATTATTCCAACTCTCCTGTGAGAATAATCAATTATTTGAATGTAATCAATTAAAGAACCCAGTGGTTAATCAGTTAGAAAATTCCACCAGATGTTCAGCTCAAATATTATGTCTCTTCTGAATAGAAAAACAATCTTTTTTTTTTTAAATAGGTAATCTTTAAGCTTACAGTAAAAGTAAGATGAGCTGTCAGAGAATTCTTATAATACCATATGGTAAGTTAACATCAGGTTTACCACAATAGGTGTGTGGATACCAGAGGAAAGTGTATTAATAGTTAGAAACAATTGAATGGCATTACAGTAGTAAAAAATGTCATAAAAAATTCAAAGCATTTCTTAAAAATAACTTACTTATGTATATGATACATTAATATTTGTAAAATTATGGCATATGTGTTAAAGAATAGTATTGTATGTTGTTGAAATATACAATAATACTCCTTATTTTTAACTTGAGAACTATATTTTGTCCCCAACCCAGGAATATAGACATGATATAATGTTTGAGTATAAACCAATAGTCTGAGAGTTCTTCAGTAAGCTGATATGACATAGTTATACCAGTTCTTATGTAGAATGGTCAGAATTGGAATACGGAGAAAAAATCAGCTGTGATAAGAAGTGTGTTTATATATTTAAAACATACACTGTCAATCTCAAGATGATTTTAAGTAAAATTGATATTTGAAGAATAATAACAAATTATTGATTGATCCCAGGACTGGTGCTAGTGGGGGGCAGCCCCCAAAATGTCACTGCCCCCTACCCAAGCTAATGCTGTCCATTAATCTAATTTTAGATTTGGCTGCATTATGTCTCATTGCTTCAATATTTAATTGTACTTCATTGCCTCTAACTTCTTTCATTGTATTATTTGGATACAGTACATTACCACTTCTCACATAAATAGCTATTCTCATTCAGTTCTGCCCTCTATATGCAAAACAAATTTTTTGCACATGCCACAAGCTTTAAATCTCCCACATGCAATTGATTGATTCTAATGTGTCCCGCATGCAAATCATCATGCAACAACAACCCTCCACCAGTAAGAGTGTGACATATTCTCTTGTAATTGAGTTTTATAATATAAGTTTTGTTAGTTTAGTTGATACTCAAGAGTCCAGTTCAGGTTAGAAATTAGGCTTAGTTGTATCCTTTCTCCCATTCCATTAATACTAGGGGTCTTTGTTATTTAATTTCATTTCTATGGGCACCTGTGGTCTTGGGTCCACCCTAACTATTCCCAATATTACTTGCCTTCCTCCTATAATGGCTGAACCCATTTCAGATGGCTCAGATTTTCAGTTTTCCTCCACTTTATAATGTATTGCATTTCAGGCCTCCACTGCAGAAACTGCTCAACCTATCTCATTTTTTTTTTGTTTTGTTTTGTTTTAGACACATTTCACAGTATATTCCCTTCTCCTGACATCATTTCTTTATGATCTTTTTGTCTCTTTTGAGATTGGGTACTTCCAAGCCTCACCATATACAGGCTTGAATTATTTTGGCCTTATCTTACCATCAGGCAGATTTTCTTCAGGATTTTATGTCCTTTGGATCTTTGTTAATCCTTTCCATTTTCTTCCCTACCACATTTTTCAGTTTTGTTTTACCCTATCTGCTCTCCTGCGGGTAATGTTTACCTTCCAGTTCCTTTCTTAGGTGTTCCACCTATATTTAGGGATTTTCATGGGATACCTCCTCCTCCTTCCCTCCATGTTGAAAGGTTTGCCATCCTTCATTCATTCCTCTTCGGAACTTCTTGGGTGGGACATTGCTGTTTGTTTCCTGTCTGCTGCTAATAGGGACTTACTGTCGGATCTTTTTCTACACAGATTCGATTTTTTGGGAGGCTCCTGTACATTTAGCATCATGCTATATTAATTTGTTTTTTTTTGTTTCAATCCAAGATATTGTCATCTTTATTCTTTTACATATCCAGCAATTTTCTATCCTTTAACTGTCTTACCTATGGGTTTTCTCCATTCGTTTTGTATGCTCTATGCTGTTTGGGGTTCTGGGTCAATCAGTCCCACCTCAATCACTTCTTGGTTATTCTCCATTTTCATATGTAGTCTTTGATCACATTTGGGTTTGCTATTTCTGCATGTCAGAATATGACCACATTACACATTCTTATTTTCCAATTTTTGGAATGCTCTTTTAGGTTATTTCACCACGTGATTCAGTCCAAGTATCATGTCTTGCCTTTGGACTTGTCTGGAACCATATGTCTTTTGAGTGGTGGTCTGCATTTTATCCAACTTCCACTTTTTATGGGTGATTTTACCTACACTATTCACTATTGGTTAGCTACTTTCAAATGGGGATTATCTTCACATGCTCATATACTCCTTCTGCAGTCAGCTTGGGTTGTTGGATTTTCCTATTGGATGTGTTTTTCCTGTTCCATACCTAACATTCTCGTCTCTTTACACACCCCTCCGTTGGGACCATCCACTGATCTTCCTCTTAATTTTATTTTTTTCTTTTCTTCTATATGATAGGTTTTCATATCCACTAGGATGTTGGGTTAATCACTTCCTTCCCCTCTTCTGGGTTGTTTCTCTTCCCTGATGTTCATCTTCATTGGTTGGAGATGTGGTTTGATCTTTAGGAGGCTTCAGGACTATGGTCTCCAGGCGAATGGTCTTATTTCCTTCACACCCTGGCACTTCATCAAATCCTGTGTGCTTTTGTTCACTCTTTTCATTTTGTCTGGATTTGAATAATCATGTTTCATTTCAACTATTCAGTGGTGGTGGCTTCTGTTGTTCACCAAGGGGATGTCTTTCTTGTTATTTCCTTCACACCCTGGCACTTCATCAAATCCTGTGTGCTTTTGTTCACTCTTTTCATTTTGTCTGGATTTGAATAATCATGTTTCATTTCAACTATTCAATGGTGGTGGCTTCTGTTGTTCACCAAGGGGATGTCTTTCTTGTTTCTTTTGTAGTAGACAGTGGATCTCCCTTTTTGAATTCATGCACTTTACATGCATTTCCTGTAGGGTCATGTTCCAGGTTTTTGTCCTTGTTGCTCATTGCCTTTCCAGTCCCATCACATTTTCTCCCTATGAGTAACCTCTCGATTCTCCAAATTTTTAATGACTCTACCTCCTTCAAATGAAGTTTTTGAATTTTTATCACTTCCTAAGTAATTCCCTCTTTTGTTTTTGACCTCCAGTTCATCATCCCTTTGCCTTGGATGTCAACATGTTCAGACAAGATTACATCCAGTTTCTCACATTATTTTTTCTCCTTCCATCAATTTTTTCCCAAACCGTCTATTCATCCATGTCACTCAAGTTCATGTCTTTCTAATTGATTTCCTGGCTGGCACAAATCTGGGTTTCTCTGCTGTTGGCTCATTTGTTTCCCTTGTTCTTGATTATTTTTATTTACTTCCATTTCTTGGCTCATGGTATATTCCTTTCGACTTTTCTGTTTCTTTTATTCTTTGTATCCTTCTTCCCATCATCGATTCCTCATGTCTTCACTCAAGTCATGCACCTTCACTTTTCCCAGCAAATCCAAACTGTCATCCGTTGGAGGTTCTTCGTCTGTTGAGTACTGGGACTACTCTTTATACGTTAATCTCCTATTCTTTACTTTGGGTAGCTGTTTCTTCCTTGTCGAGGTACCGTCATCCACCTGTTGCCATCCTTCACTCTTTCGTGAGACGGTGACTGGGTAAATTACCTTTTAGTATATATTCCTCTTATTTGAAGGGGCATCTCCCTTTCTTTTTCTTGATGGATTCTGCTATGTGGCGAGTTGTGCCTGTCCAGATATACCTAAACTAGTAAAAGCTGCACTGTAAGGCCATGATGAATTCACCATTATAATTCCATGACACGCAACTTGCACTGTGGAGATAGGGTGTTCTACAAGATCGCATATAGGTTTATCCTCATGATAGGTTTGCTTCATAACTTCCCCATCCCAGACCATACTTACCCATGAACTACATGGGTAAAGCAGAAGGGGGATAGCTGCCCATCCCTGCCATGTCTCTTATTGAATAAATTGGTATAGTCTGCTTTTCAAAATAGGGATTTGTGGTCACCCATTGCACTGTCTAAAATGTTGTCATTTTTCTGGACTCTGCTGCACTTCCCCCCCCCTTTCATCTAGTGGAGTTTGAAAGTCCTTACTACTTTCCAGTTCCAAGCCACTAAGATGGTGGACCTCAGAGGCATCCTCCTGAATGTGATTCCGAGGATGTTCCTGCACGTGGGGCAGTTCCTGTCCTGGGTTTTGGATTGTAATTGACTTACTGACGGTATGATCCTCATCCTACTCCTGCATGGATTTCAATTCCCAGCAGCATGGGTTTTAGATGTAGTTGACTTGCCATGTACAGTTTTTCATGCCCTGACCACTCTACTCCTAGGGGCACATCTTTTCATCTTACCCACTTTTGTTTTCTAGGATTGCATTTTCTAACTTTAATATATAATATATGGTTTGGATCACTGTCCTGCCATAGTTCTCTTCCATCTAGATGTACTCCTCTGATTTTCTGCTCATATGTGAAACATATTTCCATAATGGGCAAAGAGTATACCTGTTTCAGAAGTGATGCAGTCTTCCATCATATGATCTTCAATTCCGACTATCTCTCTGGGAGTGTCCTTTGGATGTTTCTTTCTTTCCCATGTACCTGTTCAATGTGGGATTTATGTGAGAAGAGCTAATGTACTATATCGGAAATTATAATATTCCTATACTGAGAATGTATTTACGATAGGTACTTACCTACTCTTACATTTCTCACACTTCCTCCCCACTGAAAACTGGTGTTTCCATTTTCTGCCAAAACTCAAAGTGATAGTTTGGTAGAATTGAATAGAGGGAGTTGCATGCATCAAGAAAGTATGTTGCACTCTCTTATTGGTGGAGAGTTATTGCATGATGATTTGCATGTAAGATGCATTGGAATCAGTCAATTCCAGATATGGGAGATTCAAGGCTTGTGGCATACACCAAAAAATATTGTGCATATAGAGGGCAGCACTGAACAAGAATAGCTATTTATATGAGAAGAGGTAAGTACCTATCAGAAATACATTTTCAGCATAGGAAAATTATAACTTTAAAACAATTTCCTGTTCAAAGTGATCTTTTTCACAATATATAAAAGTGTATAAAACAAATTTTATTTTCCAATACTTTAATTTTCATAAATGCCCACAGTATTTATTCATAAAGAAAATTTTTGTTATTTGTACCAATATTTAAGTTTAAATTTTCAAGGTCACGTCGTAGAAAGAACAAGTCAAGGAAGTATGGTCTCATCACTGCATCTGGCTCAGAAGTAGAAATGCAACCACTGGATAAAAGTGATGATGATGAAGAAGATGCAGTATTGTTTGATGTTCATCATAAAACTATTTACAATTTAAACTAGGATGCCTCAAGAAATATGTAAGTCTTTATGTTATTTTAAAAAATGAAAATTTGAATTTATATTAGTTGTTATGAAAATAGTTTAATAATTTGCATACTGATTTTCATTATGTTTAGGTTGCAAGGCTTATTTTAATAAAACTCAGTAAGTAATTCTTAAGTTAATATTATGTTGCATACTGTTGTTGTGGGCACGTGGATGGCTCTTTATATACTGACCTTTGTGTTTGTAGATTTTTACCTGTTATAAAATGCCACACTTTGCTTACAACAGCTAGGGTATGACTTGTTGCAGGTCTCTTTCTAGATGGTCTTGGTGTTCCAAGTTGATCCATATTCCTTTATTTACTAATGCCATTAAATACAAAGGATATCCCCATCTTATAAATTCAACATCCCAGATCAGAACATATTTTTGTGATCTGAATGTATGAAAATTTTGCACTGTGAAAGACTGTTACATATCCTTCCCAAAAGCAATCAATATTTGATGGCATCATACAACCTACCAAACAAGTGTAATTTTGATACATACATTCTACCGTGACTTTATATCATCTCTGGTTATCATATGATTTGTTGATTTGTATATTCAAAATCGTTTTATTATAAAGTACTCAACCACCTGTAGAATGCAAGGAACAAAGCTTTTAACTCTGTGAAAACACCATTGGTGCTTTGTGCCAACCCCTGTTTCTGTGAAGCTATACGTAGCAGTGTTCACTGTACTTCTGAATTTACTACATGTTACTTCACAAAGTTTAGCAAGCTTTGAGTAAATTCTACAAGTCTGTTGTACAAAAAAAATTGCCTGTGAATTTATGAAGTCAGTGTGACCAGACTTTGATTAGTCTGAGTGCAAGGTAATTTTCGTGTCAACAATATAAAAAACTTTTTCTTCATCTAACAGTTTTCATATTTCATTTACAAAATCTCTAGAACCTCCTAAATGAATTTGATGATGAGGAACCCAGTTTTCAAAAAATAAAAGTTTTGAGATGACATGAATGGGTATAGAAAACTTTATTATAAGTGTACAATATTATGACAAAGAAGCTTGTAATATTGCACTTGACCTCTACTGTAATGATCCCAATACACTTTTTTTTTCTCCCTCTTAGAATTCACAATAACAAAAACCAACTTCATTTTCAACAACAAAAACTTTCTTCAAACATATGGTTTATGCATGGGCAACCCTGTTTCACCTATTCTCGCCAACATATTTATGATCCAGATTGAAACACAAGCCATACAGTCTGCACTTTATCCTCCCCTATACTGATACAGATATATTGATGACACTTTTTGGAATGCACAAACTCCATTTGCCCTAACATCAAATTCACCACTGAACACAAAAATAACAAATAGTCGTCTTTTCTTAACCTCAACATTACTAGATCCAACACACAGTTCAAAACCAAAATGCACTTGAATATCACTCACACAGGCCTCTACATCTCCTGGAACTCCACCCATGAATCCAAACCTTATAGATGGAGCATCAAGAATTTGTTCAAGTGACTACGTAGATGAAGAAATCATATATATAAAGCAATCCTTCATTTGCACCAACAAATTGCCACATAACCACCAGAACAAAAACTTCAAACTCAACTCACAAACAAAATTGAGACTAATACACCAAACAACAACAGAACATTACACTGCAGTTTACCATTCATCCCTGAAATCAGTTCAAAAATAATCAACATTTGGAGAAAACTTGCCACTAAACATAAAATTCCTCTTGACTTCAAATTCACACAAAAACTGCCTAAACTAAAACCGTTACTAAATAAAAATTACATAGAATCACACAATACAAATGTTGTTTATAAAATAAAGTGCAGAATTTTACATCAGGGGGAACCAGGAGAAAATTGGAAACCAGATTCATCAAATATAATAAAAAAAAAACTCCCGTGTTTACCATTGTTGCAACTCTAAAATTCACAGTATACCTATACAAAATATTGTAATTTTAAAACAAAGAACCAAACATCAACATACGCAAAATAAAGGAAGCTATCTTAATTGAACAAAACAGCCCTACCCTAAACTAATGCCCCAGGGTACTGAGATACTTTTACTAAGTTGTTAAGCAATCTCCGGTCATGTGACCTATTTGTTTCATACTGTATATATATTCATGTGTCTCTGTAAATTACTAGTAGCTGATAATGCCATAATCTTGCCCAAACGTTGTATACTTATATTAAAATTTTTTTCATTATCCAGTGAAGCTGTCTCCAAACTTTTATCTCCTAAATGAATGTCAAGTTTTTTCAGTGAAACTTTATATTTTATCTGTTATTTTCTCTACTCTGATGCTAACTGTAGTGAAATCAGCAGTTTAAGGTAAAATGAAAATCTAAATTACTCCATATTTTTTCTAGAATGATTACATATTGTAACAGATGATTATACACTATTTGTTCTTTCAACCAAAGCTAATAGACTTCAAATTTACAAGCGTGCACTGTAGAATTATAATCATGCCACGTGATTGTTTGCTCTATGATAAGAGTATCATGAGTAATATCTCTTTGTGGGACAATGCTAAGTCTACGGGCTTACAATGCTAAAATCTTGGGAATTCATTTCCCTATGGTGGACACAGCAGGTAACCCCATGTGGCTTTGTTCTAAAACAAACAAATCATAAGTAATTTTTGTATTTAATTTATTTTTCATTTATGTTTTCTTATCTAACTCGTTAAGTTTCTAACTTTTGCATTTTGGTTACTTTTATAGAAATAGATAAATTATATATGTAAAAAAAACAAATTTAGTACTGGAGTTCAAGCTTTTTCTTTTGTTGTTCACTACTTTTTGTAATGAAGATGGTGTTGAAAAGTATTTTTTTTAATTTAGAATATGAAACTTAGAACAAAATATTATCATGCACAAGAAATAAAATGTCCTGAAACTACTAGAATTTAACTGGCTTTCCAACTACTGTCAATGGATTAAAAAATTCCATTAGTTGGTAGAGACAAACATTACAAAGGCAAACAATGAAACTGAGGCCAGATATTTCAAAATTGGACACATGAATAAACTTGTAAAGAATTTATTAGTAAAGGATAATCTTCTGTTTCTTTTGGTTATAAGTAATCCAATAGCAAATGTCAGACAGAAGTGTTGACATCCTTTGGAAGACATGATAGGAGGGACATGGCATGTGGGTTAGCAATATATGTATAGTGTAAGTGTTTAACTTGTGGAAAACTTGGAATATCATGTAGGGGGTAGAACAAAATCGAAAATAAGCAACTTGGAGTGATAAAGTTTCATATGATAAAGATGTGAAGATTGCGAATTTATTTAAAGATTTTGCTTTTGAAATTACAAAATTAAAGATGATATAATGTTATAATTTAAATTATAAACTATGTATCGATGCCAAGTTTATTGGCCTACATTGATAATAGATCTTTAATTTAATACTGAAAAGATCATAGGTTGCACTTTGTCCCCCCACCACCAAACATGTAGGGTAAACTTACACTACATTCCATTTGAGTCTTTCTGAAAGCCTTTTTTATGTCTTTATGTATATTGTTTATAAAATTTCTTTACCATTTTTTAGTAATACTAATTACATAGTAATTACTATATATATATATATATACTCATCCATTAATTTAGAAAGTAGAAATTACTTGAAATATTCTCAAACAGGAATAATAAGTGTTTGTTTTTTATTTGTAATTTCCAACTTCCACCTTACTTATATTTAGATTTTTAGTTTACTGACACTAATACACTATGCTCCTGCCAGAATACGTACAAATAGGATGTCAAAACGTTGTACATTTGCTGTTATGTTAAACTTATATTGAAGTTTTTCTTCATTACCCATTCAAGCCGTCTCCAGCCATTATTAATCTCTCAGGTTGTAATATTTAATGTCACAACCACTGTGTTCTTGATTAGAAGTTGGTAAATAACATTGATTAAAATCCTGTTGTTTCCAATAAATGTAGTAAAGAAGCTTAACAATTATCATGCCTAGTTTTTGTTTTGTTTTTATCATGGACAAAACTTAGTCTTGTATAAAGTTGAAATGTGCAATTTTGTTTTTCATAAACTTTAGTTGATATTAGGAGATTATCAACAAACATTAGTCACAGTGACAAAAAAAAAAGCAACTACTGTCTTACAGCAAATGGGTTATTTATATCTTAAATGGCTTGCACTGGTTATAAATTAATACTTTTATTAATCTTTGATGAAAGATTTCAGATATATGGCAAAATAAATATATTTTATAATTATTTTTAACCTTTTGGAAACAAGTGGTAAAATTCTAATAATGTTATTTCATGATTTCTAGCATCAAATAAACTTTTTCTGTTTGTTTGGCCCAAATGTTAAATAAATTGATAGCTAATCAAGTGAATTTTTCAACAAGAAAAAATAGTTCTTGTAATGCAAAACTCCTTTATGATTATACTTAGTAATAATTGAGATTCATTGGTCGTGTTTATCAAGAATGCAATTAAATAATAAGTTGATTCATTTCTAAGCATTTTTTATGTATTGGACTTGCAATTAAATTAGTTTAAAACAAACATGCAGCTGAACTTGCAAATTTAACACAACATGTAGAATGTTCTGGACTTTATGAAGTTTGCTTGATATTCTATCTTGTTTCTGCAAATCAATAAATTTTCAAAAAGTAAGTTTTTCTATGTCAGAAAAAATGCTAAAATGTTAACTTTATGGGTAAAAGGAGCACAGTGACTTGCTATATGAGAAAACACAAATACTTATTGCTGAAATTTAAGGTGAATTCCACCATCATGTTCAAGCTGTTGAGATAGATCAAAGTGTCTGAAAAATGGAACATGTGAGAATGGTTTTACATTATTGAAAACGGCCAAAACAGTAACTTATTATTATTATTACTGAAAATTGAAGTTTGTTCCAAGAAATTACTTTATATCGTATAGAACCACACAAAATACTTAACTGAAACAGTTGAACTACAGTTGCTGCTTTACACTGGACATCTTACTGCATTTAAAACATTTTTCAGACAACTCTGACTGTACAATATAATATGTAATAATTTGCTTCATGTTTTACAGTTTATGGCCTCTTCTTATATTCTACTAATGTGTTGCATTTCTTTACTTGCACATATTCTAATACCTCAGTCTTTATCAGGTGTTATACTTAAGTTGTGCATCTTCATGGGCACTTTAAGTTTTATTTTGTTATTGTTATAACATTGAATAATTATTTGACTTACAGAGAATGGTACATTTGATATTTAGCCAAATGCAAATAATATCTCAAACTCTTCACGACTGAATATTATGTTAATTTTAAAATTTTACAAGTTTCACTTTGAAGCTAATGTTTTTATCAACTTAGCTATTAGCTATTTCATTTCTTTGGTTTCATATATATTTATCATACATCAAATTAGAGATTTAACATAACTTATGGATAGAGTTCTACTAGACCTAGAAAAAAAAGTTTTGATGTTTCTATCTTACTTTAGGAGTGGTTTGCAACTTCCTACATGCAACTTATTTACCAAACATTTGTGTTTTAATTTCCTTAACTTGGATTATTTTAAAATAGAAACTTTCAACAACCATAGTTTTGTTTATATAAAAAAGACAATTTGCCCTCCAAATATTTTTCATTTTTCTTCTAGGAAACAAATATGCAAAGGGAGCCGATTATTTATGGAAGCTGTATAAGATATATCTTTGGATTTTCGTCACACTTATGTATCCTACAAAATGGGTAACGAAGTGTACTATTATTTGGGTGTGGTGCCACAATGTTGTACAAGGCAGTGTTTTTGGCTCATTAACAATACACTTCCCAAAGAAAAAGAAAGCAAAAGCGTTAAGAAAATTTTATGTACATTCTGAAATATTTATCTGGATATTTCTAACACGCAACTTTATGCTAAATGTTTAAATATATTTCAGCATTGCGCCTGGACACATTTCTTACTTTCTTTAATATCTTAATACTTCTAAGAAATTGTGTAAAATAAAAAATTAGCTAAAACTACAAAATAAGAAATCTGATAGCCCAAGTCTTATTTGACAGGGGACCTTTTTTCTGTACTTCCTAATTCAATCTTTAGAAAAGGTCTTATTTTTCCAAAATTTATTGTGTTACTTCTTTTCTTTTATGATTAATGTGTTACAAAACATCTTAAAAGGATATTCTCATTCAAAACTATTTGTTTGATAAAATTAAGTGAATGTAATTAGCACACTGTCAAGAAATTTTGTATCATTGTAATGTTTGTATCATAGTTTTTTTTTGTTAGAAATGAAAATACAGACTTCAGAAATTGTGCTTCCTATTCAGTCTTGTATCTTGGACTGGTCAAAAGCTCATATGTGTAGCTTCAATAAATTGTACTGAATTGTATGTTTAACTGTCCACGCTATACATTCAGGGTTTTATCTTTAGATGCGAGTGTCAATGATAGGTTAATGTGTACTGGAATATATTAGCCAGTTTTGGGTTTAGCCCATTATGGGATACAATCAGTAAATACTTAGGCTTCAGTCTGTTTATGGCAAGATTTTTTATTTGAAGTTTAAATGTGTTTGAAATATTTGAAGATAGCACACAGTAAAATGACAAAAAATCAAATGCACAAAATTATGTTAGTGTGAAAATTTTATCTCTTATCATTGCTAAATTATGAAAATTAAGTTTCTTTGGATATTTTAAACTGTATAAAGATATACAATAACCATTACATGTTGTCTTATGTTCACACGTAGAACTCTGTTGTGCTATAATCTGTAATCCTAAGTTGTGAATGACAGTATAAAAATTCAGGTTTGGGAATACAAATTAAATTTTATTTTAAGCAAAATCATCTGAGTGTCTTGATACTAATTAGCATCTGTATATTCTAGTAAAATTCATCTGTTGGGTCAAAATATTAAAGTATTTATGTTCTTCTGTCTTTTTTCCCACATGTTACTCTTGTAATGCATGAAGTTTTGCATTATTTAGAGAAGGTTAATCCTGTACAATAGTCAGCAATAAAAGTTTGTAACACTTAAGTTCCTGTTTCTTTGCAAATTATATTGTCAATATTGTATCTTTGTATAGTGTACACCTTTTTTTTTTTTTTACAAAATACTAACGAAGTATGATTTTCAAAAAAGAAATTGTTCTGTAGATGTTATTAAAATGAAATAGAGAACGTTTTCTATCATGAAGCAAAAATTTTAGGTCTTTTAGTATGATAACATACAGCTTAACAAGATAGAATGATAATAAAAAAAAAGTTCATAAGAATTAATAGGAAAATGAACGATTTTTTTTATTAACCTGAGTTTAAGTAAAGCTTATAAACATATTTATATGTATAGTCAGCCATCAGGTTATTTCACTGACTCCAGCACAAATAGACAACTATAAACAAATTAGTGTATGTCAAAGCCTAATCCAAAATCTGTTTATTATTAAACCTTGAGTCATTAGTTAACAAACCATTACCAAATTTCATAAACAGTATTTCCTAATGCTATAACAGCATAAAATTTAAGGAATTTAATGGTTAGTAAATAATTTAGCCCCTTAAAAGGTTTTTCACTTTCACATACTCCCTTATTTTTGTATGTGTGTTTTAATTACAAAATTAGGACTATATACCAGTGGTTCCCAACCTTTTCATCACCAAGGACCCCTTTTATTATTGTTTTTGAAAAATTCCATTTACCCAACAAACTGTTTTTATTAATAATAATTAACTCGTTTTCCCATTTTTCACATATATATATATATATAACTGAATGTGCAATTAAAAAAAACAGCAGTATTAAAAAACTTGTTTAATGAGCTGGTATTACCTTTGCAGACCCCAGGTTGGAAATCACTGCTATATACAAACAGTTGTTATATGAACCAAGTAAAAACATCAGATGTTACAGGTTTTATTTACAGAAAAAATTATTTGTGCATTTGTTATCTCCCAGTCGTTCTTGTGATATTAAACCTTTTGTTTTAAAAAAATCCATTTAAATGCTTCCTTTATGTACATTTAAATAAGACTGTAGAATATGAATAAATTTTAGACAACCAGGCCAAAACAAAATGTATGTTACAAATTGACTACTGGGGGTGATGAGATAGTTTATCTCCTGAAGTTAGCGGTTTGGATCTTTTAATAGCCACATACATGTATGAACAGTTTAATAGGACCTAAATAAAAAAGGACAGTAACTACGTTCCCATAACAGGTAGCATACAACAACTGGAACACTGTAGATTTGAGCAGTAATATATTCTCTGTATAATTGTTGATTGTATTTTTATTTCTCTTGTGAAGCTTTTAAGGAGAAATTAAATCCGATACAAGTGTCTTCCCACTACTGTATGGATCCTATTTACATAGATATTCTATTATTAGAGTAATTTGAATTTATACCATTTCTTTGCTATTTATGCATCACGTTTTCGGTTTTTGCCCTAGTTGTCTGAAACTTATTTCAAATACAGTCTAGAGTAAGGAGATATTGTGTTGAGCTTTCTTTCCTTTTGTAATTCTCATGCATATGTGTGTATATATTCGATATAAATTCGTATTTTTGACACTAGATGGCGATTTTACCATTTTAGAAGTTTAGATGTATCATGAGTCTGATTCATTCCCGTTATTAAATCTATTCGTTTTTTTAGCTTTTCAACTTCGTTATAAAATATCATCCAATTAAATGTTCATGTAATGATCATGTTTAGTGTTATTCACATGATAACATCACACTTGTTGTACCACCTGGTTTAATGGGATTGCTGGCAAGTCTACACCTAACTTGAAAGGTTTAACTGCACGTGAAGTGGAATGTGCAAATTCAGCAGGGATATGAAAGTGTCAAACAATTATAATTGTATAGACGTTCATAACACTAATTTAATTTTTAGTTTAATGAAAATTGAAATCTCTTCGAAATATTGCACGAGTGGACTGTTCTTTTTCAAGAATTGTATTTTAAGTTTTGAATTTTTCCTAAATATTCTAGTTAGAGGATCCGTGCCTTGATGGTGTAGAAATTATTTGTGATATCTTAATATCTAATGTACGATTTGAATGAAAATAAAAACTTTCACTTCTACAAAAAAAGTTGTGTAGTTTCGTATTGAAGATATAGAAACTGTCTTGATATTGTGTATTTGTATGTGTAATATTTTAAAGAGAACTACGGAGCTTTTACAAAATAAGAAAACTTGGAAAGTTAAGGTCATCTATTATATGCCTTTCCTTCTTCTTTAGTTTCTACAAAACACTGCATATAAGGAAATACGAAACAAACATAAAATTGATATTGGATTCAGAAATTCCGCCACTAACTTGAAAGTGTGTTTAATCACTAATAATCTGCAGGTCGCTGGTTCGAATCTCGTCACCGAATATGCTCGCCCTTTCAGCCATAAGGACGTTATAACGTGACTGGGTAGTGTTGACTAGTTGCCTTCCGTCTAATCCATCACTTCTAAATTAGGGACGGCTAACAGAGATAACTCTCGAGTAGCTTTGCGCGAAATTCAAGAAACAAATTAATCACCAACTTCAGGCGAATTTTCCATTGTAGGCTACAATATTATCTGTCAAGTATTTTTTGGTCTGTTACTTACGTACACAGTATTATCTGTCAAATAGTTTCTGATCTGTTACTTACGTACACAGTATTATCTGTCAAGTAGTGTCTGGTCTGTTACTTTACGTACACAGTATTATCTGTCAAGTAGTTTCTGAACTGTTACTTACGTACACAGTATTATCTGTCAAGTAGTTTCTGGTCTGTTACTTTACGTACACAGTATTATCTATCAAGTAGTTTTTGATCTGTTACTTACGTACACAGTATTATCTGTCAAGTAGTTTCTGGTCTGTTACTTTACGTACACAGTATTATCTGTCAAGTAGTTTCTGAACTGTTACTTACGTACATAGTATTATCTGTCAAGTAGTTTCTGGTCTGTTACTTACGTACACACCCAGTCACGAAGCTAAGTAAGTACGAGGTAATACACGCATCAGTCTCGTACGCAGAATGTTTGAAAGGGGGTTCTAATTCATGAGATCAAAAGCCAACACCTATTATTCGAAGCATAATCAGCATGCTAATACTACGGGGGTCTTGGGGAATACGACTATTTCAAGCCAAAAACTGCTACTGCTTCATCAGAAGACTGTAGAAAATGTTAAATACCATGTTAAATGTTTTTTGTTTTTTTTATCTTGTCACGAAGCTTTAAAATTAATAGGTAATACGCATCCAGTCACGAAGCTAAGTAAGTACTAGGCAATACGTCTTGTCACGAAGCTAAAAAATGACTAGGTAATGCGCATCTATTCACAATCACGAAGCTAGGATATTACGTGGTGGAATTACCTCTCAAAATACTAATAAACAATTTACACAACAAATTTAGTTAAATAATGTTTCATACACCTCATATTCAAATTAAAGCATATCTTTACGTTGTTGCGATTTGGAATGGAAATAATAAAACTTATCTGTAATCCTCAAGTCTTTGTATGTATATTTAAAAATTATGAAATATTAACTTTAAAATTGTTTTGCTGATACATTGCATGACTACTCGAAACATTATCAAACCACGCGCATGAACTTTATATTAAGCGATACACACTTAATGAAATGCTGTTACATGCAGTGATATATCAAAGTCGCCACAAATCGTGATTGTCACTATACATAATATGTTGATATTTATGTAGTCTCGTAATGTCTCACTGTTAAATCTGCAATACCCGCAGTTTAATATAATCCTTTAACAGTGTCATATTTCATGTTCAGAACTTGTGTGTGTGTAATTTTGTTACAACTTTCGGATTTTGCTACACAGTCTCAAAACAATTTGAATAATTTGCTATTCCAAGGCATACTACTTTGTTTTGTGACGTCATACTTATGTTGTAGTAGATTCAAAAATCGCTTGCGCGGACTAACTGACATCCAGTATTTAAAACTTATTTGTAGTAAAACCTGGGGCTTCTCTGATATTCGCTATTTTGCTTTTTGTGATGGAGTCCTGGTGGGTTAACGGTACATTTGAAGACTTGTAAAACTAAAGTCCGAGGTTCTATTCCTCGCGGGGAATGAAGCGCAGATAGCATATTGTGTAACTTTGTTCAAGACAAACCTTGTGGGATGAGGGAGAGTGGGAGATCTTGTTCTAGAGAAAGCATAGTTGATTCTGTTTTTTCAAGTTAATTATGAATTAGTTTTTAAAGTTTTTTTGTGCTGACTGAAGGATGGGAACCATATTGAAGAAGGACAATAAACAGCTTCGAAGAAATCTTATTTGTATTTTAACCGACGTTTCGGTTTACAAGCTCGAAGGACTCTCGAAAAAAAGGCATAAACCAAAACGTCTTCTTTTTTTTACAATTTGGTGTTGAAATAATTAATATGACGTTAAAATAAATCATAAATTTAATTCTAATATGTATTTACTTAAATAATGTTTAGTTCACACCGAAACAGTTGTTTAAGTAATTGGTAATATAAATAGCGTCTTGACCATTAGTATATCTGTCGCTTCTTAGTCAGCCTGATGAGCTCTGGAATTGGACAAAAGGCTTCCATAGCACTGGATATAGCAGATTCAGTGAAGCAATGAATGTCGGAAAAACCCGAGGACTTATTCGAGACTTCATTGAAAACACGTTATCTAGCTAAAGATGTACATTAGTAACGTACACAACAAATAAACACTAGAAAAATTTGGGGTTTTCCTGAGGTGCATTATATGCACAAAGGTAATTACATCTCTACTTGGATATAGGGAAAGAAGGTGGTATAATTATGCTATAGATTATATGACCCAACTCAAGGAAAGAGTGGAGATTATTTGGTTTCATGATCTGCTAAATCTTGCCACTGCGTTGTATAAACGAATTTGTACTGGCACACAACGCTAAGTCATGTACAGCTTTGATAATTTTGAATAATCATATGTTGACAGGAATAAATTTTTAGTAGCAAGTTTTACGCATCACGTGCTTCGTGTGTATGTGTGTGGCATTGAT